TGGCCATGCTCGCTGGCATTTTCGGCGTACAGTCCCTCCATCGGCCCCCGAGGGCGAGTACGCGGAGTCATCACTAGCAGATTGTTGACGCGCTCAAGACAAATCAATAAAACGGACTTTTGCGAGCCATCGCTCTCAGTTCCAATCCGAAACTGAAGCTCTGCGCAGATGCACCGAGGACCTATGTTGTGCAGAGCTAGAATGAGCTCACATCCACAACTGCAAGTGATCGTATTGCACGCAGAGGCGTGAAAGCCCCGACACCGGCCAGAGCGGCCGAACTCATGGTAGGTGCGCTCCTTGGCGCGGCGAGCGTGGGTCCACGGGCCCTGCGTGAGCCGTGAGGGGAGGGAGACCAAGGCAGAGTCAACGGCAAGCCGCGCCCGGGAGTCCGTTGGCGATGACCTCTATCCTTCGTTTGTTCTTTTTTCTCGCGCCGTTTTCGCCGTCATCGCGGTCCAAGTGCCAACCCACTTGTGGGGCGCGCAGCCCACCGCTGAGCGGGGCGACCGCTTCGCAGGCGCAGAGGTCATGCGGCTGGTGACTGGGGGGGCCTCGGAGGAGTCGGCGAGAAGGTCGCTGTGCAAGAGGGCCCCTCCGACGAATGATGCGATGGGCTCCTCATCAACAGATGCTGGTTGATGGCCTTTTTTCTGAGGAGAGGAGCCAGATCCCAGGCCAGCAACGCTGGTGGGCATCAACCTTGGAGAAGGTTAAGAAATGGCACGGCCGGGGGTGTGTTGGAGGTTGCCCTCCCCTTGGGGGTAGGTTTTCCTTCCCGTCGTCCTTTCAAGGGTCAGGGCCTTCGGGGTCTGGGTGTCTGGTGGTGGACTGGTGCTTGTAGTACGCCCGTTGACCATGGAAACCACGAATCCTGCGTTTGCTCATTCTCCGATGCCAAAAGTCATTTTAGCAACGTGATTGCTTGTGCAGGGGCCGCGTGTGGCTTCTTAAGCCGATAGTGGCACATGGCAAGAAATCAATTTCTGCTCTAGATGTGCCTTGAATGCCCACAACGTTGAGTCCCTATCAGTCGAATGATGCAATCACGTTTGCATCTTGTGGCGCATGGCCCAACTCTGCTGAGTACATACTGTATGATGTTAAGTTTGACCGCACCGGCTTATCGCGCGCTCAAACCCCTATTAGAAACCGTCCCCGAACGTTTTGAATTTAAGAGAAAGATTGTCAGATGCTGATGAGCGTTTGTTCAGCGGCCCGCGTTGGCCAGCACACGAAGGCGAACAGCGCCCTGCCATTTCGGGAGAGGCGGTGCGCTCGCGCGTTCACTCGAGGGCTCTGTAGTTCGAACGGGTTCATTTTTCAGCAAAGCGTGCGCTCAGCTTTCTTCGCGCGAACTCAATCCGCAGTTTCCGTAGACGCAATTCGGCGGGCGAGCAAAGTGGCAAGAGCGGCGCCGATCCAATCGGTCCAAGCGGTGGGTGGTGCACTGCAAGGCAGGCGTGCATTACTTGCGCGGCTGGTGGTCGTCATGCCGCTTCTGAACCCCCGCGCAGCTCACAAGCCACATACCCCACAACTGCTACGCAACCCCTGATTACCTGCTGTATACACGCACTTCTACATGCGTCGGCTCGGGATCCTCAATGGCTTCCGACACCCTCGAACAGCAGAAGTACGGAGGCATTCTCTTTTTTGGCCACGGGCCAGTGCATGTCGGGAAAAGCGGTCTCTTCAAGGCTGTTCGTCTCTTCAAATGGCTGCGAGGCTCCACCCTCTTCCGGACAGAGCGGCAGGAAAATCGGGCCCTTCCCACTGCTGGGAACCTAGCAGCTCAGGAGCAATTTGCCCAAACGCTAGAGCGGTCCGCACGTCACCATCACAGGGGTGTAGGAGAACCCGAAACCCTGAACCCACAAGGTCTCCCAACTCTCCGCCACTATGCACCATGACCGCAGTCCATGCTCTCTGTTTTGCAGAGGCTTCGCAGTGGAGAAGCCCAGGTCAAATGTCTGGCCATCCCCCAGAATGGGAGCCTAAGCCCATTGTATCCCGGTGTTGCTTGGGAAGAGTCCTCCGTGTCCCAGCTCTTGAAAAAAGTCGGAGGAAAGCCAGAAAGCCAGACCTGACAAAACCTTTTAAATGGTGTCGGCGCGCATCCTACGGGGTGAGCCGAGAAAAAAATCTAGCCGCGCAGTGCCCGTGCATACCTACAAAAAGGAAGACTCTGCCTCCTGATCTCCCCACAACCTGGTTTCCTACACAGGTACTCAGAACAGAAGACGGGGTGTCAACTCTAAACTCGGGAAAATAGCCCCCCAAATCCACCGGAAGCCCTGAGGCAGTCGGGCACGCAAAGCCGGCGTGAAACTCAGCCGATCAGTCTCGGCTTGCCGGCAACGGACACCAGGTTGATGCAGTAGCGGTTGCCCTTGGCGTCCTCGTTTTGGAGGACTTTCGGGTCCCTGAAGACCCAACCTCGGCCCCTCAAACTTCTTAGGCCTGCAAGCTGTTCATGAAAAACCCTAAACCCTAAACCCTAACCCAAGTGCGGGAAGGTTGGTTGAACTTTGGAGTTCTGGCGTCTCAGGGGAGGTGTCGACGTCTTCGAAGAGACCCAGGCTTCGTGCACAGAAAGGCTGATAGCTGAGCATGAGGGCCACGGGACTCTGGGGTCAGGATGTCGGTAATTTGGAGTTTCAAGATGGACGGGCTTGGGATGGCAGGGTTTGTAGGTCTCAGAATTATTAGCTCAGCAGTTTCCAAGCATAGCGAAATTTGTAGGGCACGTTTACAGTACCAAGCGGAGATAGCTCTTGACATCATGCACTCTGTGCCCGCTGAGCTTCCGGAATGTTGTGGCCGAGGTGAGTCCCATCCACGGAGACGCACTCGCCGCCAGGCAGGCAACGAACGTTCTCCCAGTTCACCTCCTGCCGGCGACTCTCATCCCTCAACCAGAACGCCGCAGGTCTTTGACAAGCTTCATTATTCTTATTACTCTTGCTATTGTTCTTCTTACGGTCATAATGGTTCCTGATATGCATTTGCAGGCCACAGCTCGGGTAGACCTCTCGTCTATGGCCTTGTTTGGATGCCCAGGCCCTCGCTGAGGCTTTAGTCTGAGCCTACGGTAGAAAGGGGAAGAGGAGGGGGTTTGGGATTTAAGAAGAAGCAGCTAAGGTTCGGGGCTTTGGGAAGTTGCCTCAGAGCTGGAGACGTGATTTCTCGGGTGTCAGGGTTGAGCAGCCAAGGATTGAAAGCAAGGGCCGCGCACATGTACGTTTAAAAGTTTACATTCACCTTATAACATACATACATACATACATACATACATACATACATACATACATACATACATACATACATACATACATACATACATACATACATGCATGCATGCATGCATGCATACATACAATCTTTCGTGATTCCTCTGTAGTGTTTTGCATTGTCGTCTGCAGAGGTCCTCAACTCTTCGCACGAACCGTTTTACCTCTGACCCGGTCCCGAACTTACCCTGCACAGAGTGTCAACGCACCCCCAACCCCGAAGGAATTTGCCCATAGCCATCGCGTGAGAAGCAATCAGAATAAAGATCAGCGTGACTCTCTGCAGATAGCCCGAAAGCTAGTTGTGGGAGTGCAACAGTTGCTTTGGCTGTGGCTTTAGGACCTGCTCTCCTCGTCACGAAAGGATGGCCAGCCATGGGATCGGGACTCCTTGCAGATGTCTTCTGGTGTTGGCTTCAGGCGCAGAATCAGGAGCTGGGCTGCCTAAGGTGAACAGAAGTTCAGGGTTGTTTGGGTTTAGGGTTTAGCCCTAAACCCTAAACCCTAAACCCTAAACCCTAAACCCTAAACCCTTGGATGTTGAGCTCACACAGTGCCAGTGGGTACCAGGGGCACAACAAGCACCACCGCCCCCCACAACCCGAACCACCCATAAGGGACCCGGAGGCAAATTAGACAAGCGCGGTCCTTCTCAAACTGCTCCCAGGTCCTTCGGGACATCACGCTCAAGTCAAGGTAAATTAGGGTTTGGGCTCGGGGTTTAGGGCTTCCGGTCCCGAACCATGAATATCGTCTGGATAAAAAGGACTTTGCGTCAAGAAGCTGTTGGAGCACTTCACTTCGTGATACCAGTAGGAGAACCAGCATCACGTTCGCTCCCGCAACAAGAGCTTGCAAGGTGCCCAGGAAAGAACCCCCAAACCCTAAACCCTAACTTCAACCCATCCTAAAGCCCCTCCACAAACCGCAGGTCCTGCCAACTGGGGCCGCGAAAAGCGGCTTTCCCGTCACAGAGTCGTAGAACGTCTCGCCCTGGAGTTTCAAAGGGCCGGGGAGGTTGAGCCGAGGGAGGGCTCAGAACTCTAGACCCTTAAAACCCTACTCCTTTGAGTGAAGCTCGGGTGTGGTTTTCTGGGAGGGGAGAAAGGTCCAGATTCTGAGGACCTAAGAGACGAACGACACCGTAAGCCCCAAACCCGCACCCCAAAATCCACAGCTTCACCGGGAGTGCCTCGTGGTTTGCTTCATTGAGGAAGGCCGTCGATTGCCAGTAGCCGGCGAACTCGGCGAAGTGCCGGTTGAAGCTGCAAATCCTGTCTGCTCTAACTTGGTTTTGGGCCGGGCTCTGGTGTGAAGAGGTCTACAACTTGTCCAAGCCTTTATTGGGTTAGGGAAGGCTCCAAAAGCGTAAGGGGCTTGCTACTGCCTAAACTTTGAACCTAGGCCATGAGTGCCGAGGGGAGGCCTTCTATACGCCCTCTTTTCTTCGCCCGTCATGGATCAGTCGGCTGTGTCATCCACAAAAAGGAACCGAGGGGCTGGTGCCCAAGGGTTTCGGACCAAAAAAATGCACCGATGCTTTGAGCATCCCTCAACGCCGGCAGCCCTGATGAAATGGAGCCGTTGCCAACGAACCCTAAACCCTAAACCCTAAAACCCTAAAACCCTAAACCCCCAGCACCTCAAATCATGAAGCCTTGGCCACATAGCTCATATCCCTCGACCTCTGTCGGCATCAGCTCGCGCTTACTCTGCCGGTGGCTCGTGCCCTTGCTCATCAAGCAAGCCTTCGATGGCCTCGAAGCAGCCTCGGTAGCTACCCAATTCTTCCAAAACCCCTTATCAGGAGTATACCCTAATTCAGAACCATGATCTCTGGTATAGACTAGGGTAGACTCCATAATTTAAGGGGTTTTAAGAAGATCTGGGTAGAGAATCCTGCATCGAATCCACGATCTGATGCATGAACGGTGAACTGACGAGCTGCCTGGGGGGAAACAACGTAATATCATTGATCTTATAATATAACTAGCAGCACACCCGGAACATTCAGTCTGAAAGGGCAGCTCGGGTCTGCCTCCAAGGAGCACCTGTAAGGCAGGTCCAAAGCGCGGCAGGGGCTGTCGGGGCTCACAAGGTGCTTCCTGTCAAACCTGAGGCAGAAGACGGATCGCTGCCCCCAGGGCCCGAAGACCTTGGCGTGCCTCGCAATCAACGTCGGCAGCTTCTCCCACGCCACTTCTTGAAACCTCCGTAAAGCCCGGCCACACATTGGATTAGAGCAAGATACCTTTAATTTCAAACCAAACGCTCCACCTTTGCTTGAACACTGCCCAGGCGCTTGAGCCGCAGGGCCAAGATAACCTGAGCAATCTCGCAAGATCTCGCAAGTGCGCAAAGACAACAGCGAAAGAAGAACCTCTCAAACTTTACCACCAAAGTAAAGAAGCTCTTCAGCAACCCTCAGGCTTAGAGGATTGGTTTAGGTTTGGGCTTCCGCCTTGAGACAGCACCCCCTCACACCCCACCAGGGAAACCCCCGGCCTTGAAAAGAAAGTGCTCCGGATCCCGGGCGCGGTCCAGCTCTGGGTCCCTGTTGGCGCCTTGCGGGGGGGGGCCAAGTGGGTTTTCAAGATGTCTCGGGTTCCCAAGTCTGGGTCCTTAATTTGGGTTGAAGGGTGGGGGATTCTAGGGTTTAAGGTGGTTTGGGAAAGGCCAATTACTCCGAGTACATTGAGCCAAGATGCAGTTCACGATGTCATAGAGCCTGAAGAAGGACTGCGCCGCTTCTCCGCCCACAAGAAGCGTCTTATCCGCAACGTTGCCATCCTGTGCTGTGCCGGTCGTGTTTGGCTCACACCGGTTTCCCATTGCACAGCCGTAGACGGACTGCGGGTCGGCAAAGGGGCTCAGGTCGAGGTCTGCCACCCAATGCAGATCTTCGCGCTGCCACAGCACGTGGGTGTACCTGGAGTTCAAGCCTTCTCGCACCAGGTGCTCCTGCACAATGTTCCACAAGAGTTGGATGTTCTTGTAGGTCAGCCGCGTTCGGCGGTAGTTCAGAATATCCGCGCCTCCCTGCCCTAAATAGCGGTTGCAACCTACACGTGGGGGATCTTCTCTCAGCCCTGTCGGCATGAACCGTAGGAAGAGGCTACTTGCTCCATACTTGCGCCCGTATCGCGACACCAAGCCTAGGACTTGTCGCATGCTGGCATTGGCCACCTGTGGATTCGGGACCGACCTGCTGTCGAAATCGCGGCTGTTTTGGCTCTTTACCGGATTAAAAATGCCAACGTCCCCCTCTGCCATCACCTGATCGACCATGGGGGTCTTCGCCCAGTCCAGCAGCGCGAAATAGTCCACACGATAACCTGCCCGGGTTACCGGGGCCACAACGTGCCGGAACACACTCCGGGGGTAAAAGCGATCCTTGATGCCCGTGACCAGCACTGCCACACGGCCACGTGGGTGCCGTGGGCCCCGGCGACCTCCTCCAAAGGAACAATTCACAGATGATCCTTCTAGAACGCAGCCCCGAGCTGGCGCGGTTTCAGACAGCTGTTCCGGCTCATCGCGGTAGCCGCCTTCTGGGGCGGGTAGGAACACCTTCGGGCTCGCGCGCTTTCGGCGGTAGCGCTCGTCGATCTGATCGATGATTTTGTCGCCGCCCAAAGCCCGCAGATGGGACTCTGTCTTGGCCTCGTAGCGATAGTGGTAGCAATCATCCTGCGGCAGCTTCCTTACCCTCAGGTAGTTGCAGTGCAGGAACTTGTTAAAGAGATGCCTGCGCCATGGAAACGAGGAGGTGAAGAGAGCCTCGAAATTCGTCCAGGACAAGGTCTCGTTCCTGCTCATCATCAAAAAGATTCCTTTCGCGTACACACGGAAGAAGAGCTCCGGCATGCCTCCAGTCCGCACACGGGCGGGTTCTTGTTACAGGGCGGGGGGCTCCGGTCTGGGATAAGCTACCAACTTCTCTTCGAAGTGTCGACTTGTGAGGTTTGCGGGTCTTAAGACACTGCGGATCTTAAGATATCCGGGCATGCTGTTCAATGGAGGAAGAGGCTTCTCAGCTGCTTCGCATGGTGTCTGAAGTTCACACACTCCCTGCCTCCGGCGTGCCCATCTGCTTGCCATTGCACGTTCAGGAGCCGCCGCAAACCCATCTCACAGAGCTGGCCATCTGTAGAATACCAATCCTGGACACTGCTTCCATGCCCTGTAACACGGGGGATACAGAAGAAGGGACCGTTATCAAAATGAATCCTCAGCCATGTTACTATAGCAACAAGCTGGGATCCAGGAAGTGATTCTGACGATGCGGACGAGAATCAAAAAGCTCCCGGAGACTGGGCTTTGCCCAGGGTCGCAGTGCATCCACGGGTCCGTAGGGCCAATCCCCCTTGGTACTCCCAGGGTAGATATGAGCCGCGTAGCCGTGTCCACAGGACCCACCAAAGACAGCGACAATCAAGAGAACCGTAGCAGAAATTGACATCGTTCCTCACCGCCTGAATCCTGACATGCACATGGCTCCAGGGCGTTGTACGAACGCCGAAACCCTCGAGAGGCCTCAAACTGCTCGAGCCAAAGGACGGTTTCGCCACGCACCCTTTGACCGTGAACCTCTCTGGTAAGCGCCTCAGCAGCAAGCCAATGCTTCGATCCTGAGACGTAACCCTGAAAAGTGAAATTCAAAAGGCACGAAAAGCATCCTGAAGATCTAAGAGCCTGCACATACTCATCGTGATAAGAATCATGCGGAAGTCATCATAATCACAATCATCGTACATGGAAACAAATTCCCGCCTGTCTGCAGTGTTCCAGTCCACGTTCCAGCGAAGCCCCTCCTCACCATGGGCTAGGAGATCCCTCAAAACTCGGAGATTTAGGGTTTGGGGGTTCAAGATTCTAAGCACAAAGGGCTTGGGGGGTTGCTAAGGGTGCAGCAGCGCCTCGAGTAGAATATCTGGCTTACAACCCTGTTACACTACCAGAACTCTGAGTCCCAAACCCGTCAAACCGGCACCCGTCAAACCGGCTTCGCTTTGTGGGGGGTTTCCGAGAATGGGGGTACCTCATTGGGGTCCTCATTGTAAGGGAATCCCTAAACCCTAAACCCTAAACCCTAAACCCAATGTCCTCCCGTGTTTTCGCATAAACTCCCACTTATTTGGGGGGCCGCTCCCCGGCGCCTGCACTGGCCGGTCCGTCGAGCCGTGGCTCTTGGGCGCCATGATGTCATCTTTGCCTCCGTTTAGGGCTTAGGGTTTAGGGTCTAGGGTTTGGGGTCTAGGGTCTAGGGTCTAGGGTTTAGGGTTTAGGGTTTAGGGTTTAGGGTTTAGGGTTTAGGGTTTAGGGTTCAGGGTTTAGGGTTTAGGGTCCCATCTGGGGGTTCGACCTTGGACCCTTCAAGACCAAACTATAACTCGGAATATCTTAAGGGGAACCTCGAGGGTCTCTAGGGGTGCAACCTTAGGGGTACGGGTCTTCATCCCTTCATCCCAGTGCTTCGGAGCCCCTTCTACCAATCACGCGCTCTCAAGCCACCTCCTGATCTCTTGCAAAGCTTGACCTTCCCAAACGCCATGAACAGCCCTAAACCCCTAAACCACTAAAACCCCCTACAAACCCCCAAACCCTGAACCCTAAATCCCTCAACCCCGAACCCTAAAAACCGAACCTCCGGGGCCTTCCACTGGATACTGGCCGGCCCGGGCCGGGCGGAGCTTGGTCAGCGCAGCGCCCGTGAGCGCCAGGGCGCCCACGAGCCCACGGCGCCAGGAGCCCTCGGCGTGTTTAGGTCTAGGGTTTAGGGTTTAGGCTTCAGGGTTTAGGGTTCAGGGTTTAGGGTGTAGGATTTAGGGTTTTGGGTTTAGGGTTCAGGGTTGAGCTTTGTTGGGGTTTTTAAAGTTTGGAGAGCGTGTTTGGGTTTGGGGGTTCGGGGTTTAGGGTTGAAGTCCGACGTCCTTGTGCTTGGGCACCCCGGGCCATTGAATAAATACCTCCAGCGCTCACCGTTGCCCACAGATTTACAGCTTTCCGGTTCGAAGGCTCACGGGTTCTTGGACTCCGGATTCACCTCTGCGCGACTTTGCGGCCGACCAATCACATGACCCGACACATCCGAGACGTGAAACCACAAACCCCACACTCCAAACTACAAACCCGACACCCCGAAACGAGAGCCCCAAGACTTCAATGCTGAGAGACTCCAACACCCAAAAACCGTACTAAGTCTCTCCCCTTTTCCCGTACAAGGAAGCCAACAAAAAGGCGAATGACAATTTTGGCCGGTGGTTGCCCTAAACGACTCTGTGGCCATCAACTGCTGCATGTTCCTGCAAGGTGGGAACCCGGCTTCCTGCGTGGACTTCTCGCCGGCGACTCCTCACCAAGAATCCCGATGCCAAACACTGGGCAAAAAGGCCATTCGGGGGACATTTTGGGGTTTTGGGTTTATTGGGTTTGGGGCTTGGATTTGAAGCCGTTCTCGATGTTACGGTCTCCCGTACGCTTTCAAAATCTAGAATCAGCCAAAGCACAAGAGCAGCAAATTTGCAGGAAAATGACCCAATACCAAGCCAACGCGCCCATGGTGCCAAGCGTAAAGCTGTGGATCATAGGCATGCAGTGCCTACAGCCCCTAAACCCCCCCCCCAAAAGGACCTAAACCAAAAACCTTCAACCCTGCAAAGCCTTTGAGCTGGATCCTAAACGCTTTAATTACCCAAAGAGCCCAATATTGCTTAATTAAGGAATCTTCGGTAAATCATATAGGGATCCTTAATATGATTTTAGGGTATATTCCTTAATTAAGCAATATTGGGCTCTTTGGGTAGTGGACACAATAATACACATCCCTTTGATACCTACGAAGAACAACCAGCCGCAAACCCTGACAGCCATCTCCTTTTTCAGGTCCCGCCCCACGCGCAAGCCCGGAAGCACGCAGACTGCGGGTCTTCACCGTGGGCCTCAAGAAAACGAGGCTGATGCAATTTTCCAGCCTTGGGGTTTATGGGGTTAACGGAGGATCTTGGGTTTTGCGGGCGGCTTGGGTGTGAAGTTAGGGTTTCAAGCTTTCAGGCTTCGGAGTGCCAAAATTTCAGGTATGCGGATCACAAGTCATAGGATTCTTCGCCAACTCCACGCTGCAAAGAGGAAACCGCACACTAACACAAAAAGTGGCTTAGCTCACATGGCAAACTCGAGAACGTGCTGCTGGGCGGCGCCACAAACCCGAGGTTCCACAAACTGGCAGCCGAGGCTGCAAAGACGGCGGCCACAAGCACCCGCATATTGCCAAGTCGGATCAGACGCGCGTGAATTTACGACCCTAAACTGCACAGATCATGACGATTCCAGTTCACGACGTTGCTGTACTGACATGCCGAGCCCTAAATGAGCACTTGAGTTTGTGAACCAAATGTTGCAAGCCGCAGGACATGGGGGTTCGTGAAACATGTCACGCACGTGAACGTCCATGGCATCTTAACAAAAAGTGTTGTTTCCCTGTTCGGGAAAAGAAAGGCGAAGCCAAAAATGGTTCATCTAAACAGTCCAACGACAGGAGGCGAATCTGGAACATCGGCTCATGGCGTGCAGCTTCCCTTGCAATCTTTCTGCCTGAAGACAGCGCAAGGGCTACACGACCTTTTCACAGCGCTGGCACGCATCAAAAACATTGATGTTTAAGTCAGCTCGTCGAGAGTTCGCAAAATACCGTTTTGCGTTGATTCGCTTAAGGTGCTGGCTTCTCATTACAAACGTAAAAAACAAATGTCACTTCCAACAGATTCTGAATTTGTTGAGTCTTGTGCTCTTTTCGAAATTATACGCATTCAGTTTCAATCTTTGACAAAAACATCCCAAACTTGGCTTGAAGCCCTTGTCTGCAAGGGCAGCGCGGTCCAAGAAACTGAGACTATAACGTAGAGAGTCAGCCAGAAAGCCACTTGGAAAGCCGTACGTTTGCAGTGCTCGCCAGGATCCTTTGCGGGAAGCCAAGGCCAGTGGGGGCGTGGTACCCAGAATGCCCCAGTGGTGCCTTTCGATCTGCCTTATACTCTCGGCAGTTGCAAGCATCGCTTATGTTTTCTTGTAAAAAAATCTCTGAGTGCAGCATATGTTCTATAAAACATATCGCGCAGGCACGCCTTCCGGCACGCGGCATCAACCCTGGTCATTCCACTCTTGTCGGGGGGGGGAAGGCGGGTAAGGAGTGGAGGGGGGTGGGTGGGAGTCAACAGGAAGACCTGGAACCGGCTGCCATAGCGTGGCAAGACAGCCAGCCAAGTGCCCATGCTTAAAAAAAACAAATTTCGTAAAATTGAGCTGTTCCCTGTTGCTACATGCGTTTTTGAACCAATAAAGGGGCTGCACGGTGGTTCGAACAAAGAAAGGAATAGCCAGCCCCAAGGCTGTAAAAGACTGTGCATGCCAGTGCATGTGTAGCTGGTTGTTGCGCAATTGCAGCCACAACCCGGGGAAAAGCGTGAAGGTGACACCCAGGTCACAAATTTGTACAGGCGCAGATGCTTAAGCTATCAGGTCTTTGGCCAGCGAGCAGCTGGTTCCGCGGAGAAAGGACGTTTGAATTGAATGCTGGCTTTGACTAGAAAGCAACTGGTGCTCCTGCAGCCAAAATGTAGCTTTGAATCTGTGCTTTGAGTGGTGAGTAGCCGAAACGCATGTCTGCACACGGAGTCCTTTACAGCTGCTGTCGTTACTTCGTACCAAGCACGCGTGTGTTTTTGGCTGAGTGCACCAGGTCCTACACATTGAAGATAAGCGTTGTTCAGCATCTACCGGCAGCTGTAGAAGATCAGCTGGAGATCGGTCTCGGATGGGCTCCCCAGGACCATGGCCCGGTTCACGGTGCGGCGTCGGGTGTTCTGGACCCTCCTTCTTCTGCGGCCTCCTGGATAACTCATTTGCATCGTGTCTGTCCAACCCCATGCTCGAAACACCGTGGGCCCCCATGATTTGTAGTACGTGGAAGATTCCCAAGAATAGACCGTGCCGGTGTTCGCCGAAGAACTGGCAGACTGAGACTCATCCATCGGCTTCCAACCATAAAAATAACAGTATCTTTCATGGCACCCCTTCTTATCCTTGTACACTTCTGTGCAACCTCGTAGAAAGGACGATCCACCAACCAATGAATCCGCGCTCGCACTCCATATGTTCTGCTTGCGGACGATGGTGAGGTCCACTTGGAACGTAACAGAGAAAAGCCAAAAGACCTTCGCCTTCACGCTCGTGCTTCCCTTCACCTCGATCTGGTCATCCGACCGTGCACCTTGACTCGCGTCAGTTCCGCCGAATATTCAGACTCCTAAACCCTCTTACCCTACAGCACCGGGACATCATCCAAAGAGACAAACCAAATGCCACATCTTCCAGAGGTGGTCGCTGCTGCTGAAGCTTGGCCCCAGGTTGAAGACGCTCGCCGAGAGCCTAGCAGTGGTTGAGCCTGAGAATAGACCGCCCAAGATGCTTAGCCCAACGGTGCCGCTGATCGTTCCTGGGATCCAGTGCACATGGGCAAGTTTATATACGAAACTCACAACTGCCAATATGACCAACCTCCTCCCCCTTGCTGTACTGTAAAGTCCATAAAGGTTTCGACCGGGTTGGCGGTCAAAAAGATCTGGTAAGGGATCAAAAATGAAAAAGGATCAAAAGACGAGAAGGGACGGAAAAAATTGCCTATGATTGATGATGTTGTCTATGGTACAAAATATACTGTACTTGCAGCGTTTGGGTCTCGTAGAAGCTGCACATAGTGCAAGTCGCAGCGTGGTGGCTCGCGTACTTTCTGCAGATATTGTGAATTGAAGCATACTGGGTCGCGTAAAAGCTGCAAATACTTGGAGCTCCTTACAACTTGCAGATACTGGTCATGTTTGTTGGGGGCGCCGTCACCGCAACTGCAAAAAACATGATCGGCACAACCTTCCCTTACTGCAAAACATGGTGATGTTTTTGACCTCAAGCATAGATGTCCCAAAAAATGTCAGGGGGCGCTGCCCCCCCCCCCCCCAGTTGCAGATATCATGATCCGCACAACCCTCCCTTACTGCAAGCATGGTAGGGGCATGATGCTTTTTTGATCACAAGCATTGATGGCCTTGAAAAATTCGGGTTGGCCCCACCCTAAACCCTAAACCCTAAACCCTAAAAGTCTGTCTCTACCCTGCCGAAGAACTAGCACGGGCGCAAGAGACACACAAAGCCATGGCGACATAGCTGGTCATTTCAGGCAGCCAAAATTGTTGTCACAGTCAAAATGAACGAAATCCGTGCGAAGCAGAGAGATCAATCAGGCAAAACAAAGCACGGTGAGTAATTGTGTAGGCCTCCTGAACCCGGACTGGAAATGGAAGGAGAATTTGACTTCTGCCACGCATTAAAAAAACAACATGTGGGATAAAATAACCTCGGTCATGGAGAATCAAATAGAAAAGAAGATGGAAGCCTAAATGCAGAAGGTAACCATGCAATTTCTGTTTTCTCCCGCTTGCAGGGAATGGCAGGCGACTTTTGGTGTCGAGCGGGGCTTGGATTCCTGTTGCGCTTTCCCAACTGCGGTTGGCCTGACGGGCTATTGGTGGATTACCCTTCCGGTGACGTCTAAAAACGAGGATCTACACAACCTTCTGGCAAGCATGGGGCTTGCAGTAGAGAAGATGCACCACATCAACAACTTGTAATTGAGCACCCTCGCCTTTCGCTGAGATCAACAGCTAGACCTTGGTAGTATTCATATTACCATCATTCCTGTCATTACTGTTACTACTGTTTTTCTAACAGTACTGTTATTACTCTTACTATTGCTATTGCTGTTATTACTGTTATTACTGCTATTACCGTTAATACGGTGATTACGGTTATTACTGGTATTACTGCTATTACTGTTGTTACTGTTATTACTGTTATCACTGTTATTACTGATATCACTGCTACTACTGTTATTACTGTTATTACTGTTATTACTGTTACTACTGTTATTACTGTTATTACTGTTATTACTGTTATTACTGTGATTACTGTGATTACTGTGATTACTGTTATTACTGTTATTACTGCAATTACTGCTATTACTGTTAGTACTGATATTACTGTTATTACGGTTATTACTGATATTACTGTTAATACTGTTATTACTGTTATTACTGTTATTACTGTTATTACTGTTATTACTGTTATTACTGTTATTACTGTTATTACTGTTATTACTGTTATTACTGTTATTACTGTTATTACTGATATTACTGTTACTACTGTTATTACTGTTATTCCTGATGTTACTGTTATCACTGATATTACTGTTATTACTGTTCTTACTGTTCTTACTGTTCTTACCGCTCTTACTGTTCTTACTGTCATTGCTGGTATAACTAGCAATACGATTATTATTACTTTTGTTGGGGGACAGGAACTAGAAGCTTGCCACTGTTTTTGAACGGAATCGTTTCTAAATCAAACATCCCTATGCAGAGCACATTAACTGGTGAATCAAAAGCCGATGCTACACAAGATTTCTCGACAGTGCCCATAAGCATTCGGCCAAAGTTCCTGTCAAGTCCACAGCTGGAGTCCCGCCAGGCGAGTATCCCGGCTTTCTAAAACTCAGGGAACCTCAGGGATGTCAGATAACGCAGCTTCGTCATGACACCACGCAAGTAGTGCAAGCACACCTGTACGCTCTACATACGCTGTCGCACTTCCCGCCTTCGATGGTTAGCCAGGCCGAGCCGACCACAATGAACACATCACCTCTCAAGGACAAGGTGACCTTGCCCCCATAGCGAGCGTCACTCGACACGAGCCAGCCTGGGCTACTGTCCAGGGATGTCAAGAACCGCAGACACTTTCGAAACAACATGCACATCCCTAACAGATTGAGGCTCACGATTCACATACAAACATCCATCACGAAATTGTGGAAAGTGCGAAGATGTGGGAATAAACCGTGCACTCACATATAGTGTCCATGTAAATTTCCCTATTCTGGTACATGTGGTTCTCCATTGGGGAACAGAAGCCTTCGCGCCGCCAGCCATCAGCCTCGCCCCCGCAGGAGAATGTTACTGAGACGGTAGCCACGCCCACAGAAGCGGCTGCTGTGAAGCTACCTGTGCCTTTGGCAGTAAACTCGCTGTAGGCAGCAACCGGCACCCCACTCCGCGTCAACCTTCCCGCTTCGAAGTTGTAGCTGAAGCCGTTGCTGCCGACTCCAAAGGACCTGCTGTTTGTAATGTCCTTCACTTTTGTAAGACCGCTTGTGCCATGAGTGGCAGAAGAAAGCCTACGGTCACTGGAGTTGTCCGTGTCGAGTAAGTCGTCGTCAGACGAGTTGAAGCGGGAACCGTTGAAGACCAGATCCTCCTGTACGTTTTCCTCCTGCGGATCCAGGTCTGGAGTTCGAAGGACAAGGTCCCAATAGTCTTCGCTTCCCACAGGTATGTTTAGCGTGCAGTTTCCAGCATCGCAAACATTGCTGAGGGCTTGGTAAAACTCCAAGGTTGTGATTGTCTCGGTCGCCGGAGACTGCTCATCGTCCTCCATCCTGTGCTGATTTTTCTCAACAAGCTTGCGTCGGCTGTAAACACAGGACCCACGAAGTAAAAGATTTAATCTCTATCGCCCGACAAAAATCATGACAGCACTCCAACGCTTGACTTTGAACCCCTGCTCCGAACCCTCAAGGGCCAAGCAAACTCCCCCAAAAGCCAGGCTTCACCGGCACTGTGAGGCCGTAGACTTGAGGGCCATGGCAGTCCAGAGAGTTCAGACCTGCGCAGTGTTGGACGAGCAAGAAAATCTGCTGCCAGGAGGAATACATGCAATGCCCAAGAAGTCAGAACGGCCCCATGCCAACCCCATAGCAATGCTTGGCCGCGTACAGTTACGTGACGCTAGCAAGAAGGGGGTTTAAGGGAAAACCCGCCTCGCTCCACCTCCTGAAACTCCTCTTCGCTCATGTTGCTGCGGAAGTTCGTAAAGTATGCCCGAGGGCTGTCTTCGATGTTTGGCAAGAAATACTTGTGCGGTATCCCAGTTGCTCGGTCCTCCCAAAACTCCACATACGCCTCCGTGTTTTCCGGGAAATCCCTGTGGTAAAGGATATATCGGTTAAACGCCCGGTCTGGCTCGCTTTCGTATGCAGTTGTCCCCACAGCAGAGATGATGAAGTCTGCAAAGTTGCCAAAGATGGTCTCATCCTCGTCCAACTCACGTTGGCTGCAGGAAGTTGCATGAGTATTGTTGAAAAACTGTTTTTGCATGTACGTGCCTGCTGTGTAGTCACGCATCGTGTGGAGGGCCATCATCGGGTAGTTGGGCCACTCTTGAACTGAAATCACCTTCTCGCGTGCCATCGCATAAACTTTCTCACGGGCCTTGATGTACTTTCCCACGACACGAGTGTCGTAATAGTACGGGTCGAAGGCAAGTCCCGGAAGGTTAGAGCGCCTGTGCTGTTCAGGTTGTCAAAGACCTGGGAGAAACAGGCGGCCTCGTAGCAAAGCTGGTAAGTGTCAAGGGTGAAGGAAAAGGGCGGCTCCAGGGCTTGCAGGGGCTTCCTCTGGCTCTCACACTTGTATTCATACTCTTCAATGAAGTTGAACATGCCGGCAATGTCCATACCAACACTCAGCCTTCTTGCGCCGTCCAATGCAACCTTTGCAATGCACAAATTTCGCTGAAAACTACCAAATATTCGCGTGCAGGAAACATGTGTGCGGACAAGCGACCCCCAAACCCACGCCCATCTCAAGCTTAAACCCCCTGGCGTTCATCTTCTGCACAAACTCAGTAGTGACCGAGACCTCCGAATCATCCACTGTGAGATCGCCATGGATTGTTTCAAGGTCAACCACACTTCCACATCCTTAGTGGCTTCAGGCAGAAAGGGAACAGTTGCTCATGTAAGTTTTGCTGCAGTCCCAGCATCGGCTGGTCGATACGAAGCGGCGCTGGAAGCCCAACACGTCCAAAACAACCTGGCAAGCCGAACTGAAAACTGGGGATGCGACCTCCGCAACTACAAGTAGCTCCCCTTGACGTTGAAAGCCCCCTGCCCTCTGGCTCGGGCTTCGGGTCCCTAAACCCTGAAGACAGAAGCATGAAGAGCAGGAGCAGGGGGAAGAGGAGGGCGTGCTTCCAACTTAGGAAAGAGGTATGGTTGGGAGATGACCAACCTCGGACGAGAACTAGATTGCTTGAAGATACTAGAGCCTTGATGGTGTCCCCATTCTGGTGCGGAAGGTTGAGGGTCACAGACTTCAACTCCTCTCAGGCCGCAGGTTGTGCTATCAATAAGACCCTTCCGTCGTTCATTTAGCCAAACTCACACTGCGGCACATGGAGTCCTCATAGGCGCTTTCCGGCAAAGTGGATGTCAGTGTCCGGGACTGACGCTTTGTGGGACCCGTAGCCAGCGGCTTGCTGCAGTGCTCCCCGTCTCCAAGGTCATCAGTACACTGGGTCGATACCAGAGTGCCACCAGAGATTGTGATCTCTTTTGTAAGCTGGATGCCAAGAACAGTCGCACCGAGGCAAGTCGCAAGAACAAGGACGAACGCGACCAATGTAAGCACAAGGCTGGTCCGTACATACGAGTAGTTCGTCTGCAGTCTCTTTGTCCTGTTCACGTAGGCAACGAGCTCAGAGACGTTCACCTGCCCATCGTGGTCAATGTCAAGCTCGCGCATGACGTCCTCTGGCAGCCCCAGCTTCGAGACTTGTACCTTGCCCAAAGATGGCTCGGAAAAAGTGACTCCGGTATCCCCATCTTGCTGCTCGACCGCTCCACTGGACATGATGTGCACAGGGTGCCAACGCAGCCTACCAATGCCTCTGAAGCCAAACGCCTTCTTGTCAGGCGCATACGCACACTTGCAGTTTGGGGGGAATCAGCTACTCCGCCGTCGACGCGTAATGTCACTGCCAGGTACCAGCTAATTTGTTCTCACATGTAAGCTGGATGAAATAATTCTAAAATCCGGGATGAAAACCAAACAAAAAAGATAAGCAAAGTGTAGCTTTCATGGTAGAAAACATGTATTGGAAAGATTAAAAACAACCAGGAAGCTCATGACGACCTGCAGCTTCTCGAACGACCGAAATATGAGGAATGATAAAGATTTATGAAGAGCGATAGACATGATTTAGAATTCTGATATTGATGAAAAACGAACATTGATGAGGTATGATGAAAATTGCGAAAGATGATGACATGGGAATGCCAAGTTATGAATATGATGGGTGATGAATGATGAAAGTTTATGACAACAGATGAAAGCTGCTCAAACTGATGACATGTAAAAAACATAATAATACATCGTGAAAACGATGGAAAATTTTTGAATTCTGAAATGATGAACATGATGAAAAGTTGATGAAGAATGGTGCGAGGATCCGCGGTTTCAGTGGGTGGCAAATTTCCCTGGTCCCAGAAAAGCAAGTGGAGCAACTCGGTAAGGTTGCGCAAACAACCCGTCCAAATCTCACGCAATCTACTAGCAAAACTAAAGAAACAGAAGGGCTCAACCACGCCCGAGTTCCGCGAGAAGTCTAAACGTCAAAAAGACCCCGCAAAGCCACATATGTAACCCAGAATGTCCGGTCGGCAAAAGTAACCTGGTGACTGAAACCTGGTCTCAACCAAAGTAGGTGAATCAGCACCCAAAACAACCGTTCTTAGTTGGTTTGTTTCTACGACATGCACTGCCTCTCGGCGTTTTGTTGAAAAATGTGGGCATGGTGTTCGTTCTCCAGGTGTTCGTTCTTGGCGACATCCCGATGCTCTAGCAAGCATCCTCCTAAGGGAACTCAAGCAACACGATGCGTGCTTCCTGGATGCACTCGTGGACATGGGGGTCCTGCACGAGCTCCCGACTCCCCTCCATGGCCTTGCTCGGCCTTTTGGGGAACATATGGAGGATCCCCGCTGGGAATTAGTGCCCCATAAGCCCCCGGAAGAAACGGGAAGCCAGGAGGTTCAACCTGCTATATAGAATGGTACAACCTCGGATGCTACCAGGATCCTCGCCAAAGAGTGTCTGCAGGAGTGTTGTCGTTCCAGGCGATGTTCGTTTGGTGTTCGTTCTCATTTGGCGTTCGTTTGGTGTTCGTTGCCTAGCACTTCTATTTCAACCCTTTCCAGTCCCAAGCTGGAAAGCTACGACTCCCTACGCCCACCGGCTTTCCAGTGGGAGCTTCCTGCCTACGATTAGGTTCCACGAGCCTTCCTGCTTTCGGCTTGACCAACTTAGGCAGTAAAAGGCCTCAGCCAAAGGCTACGGACAGGTTCAAGTTTTCGTGTTGGGCGAACTCGCGCATGTCACCGTCTTTGTGTTTGGGCTGTGAAACCGCGCCCCCTGTACTGGCACATTGTGACTGTGACTATGGTACTGGACCCTCTTGGGCCTTTCTGAGGCGAAACCCAGCTCTCCTCCTTGGGGTTCCGTCATCGCGGTGGTTTGGCTCTGGCACCTCTTAGCGGCTACACAACAGCTTGTTGGAAAAGGCTGCGGAGCGTTTGGTTTGGCGCGGCTGGAAAGTGGTCTTTACATCCAGGGCCTTTTAAAATCGTAAGCAAGGCGACCACCGTCAGTAGGGTTATGTGTGTGTGTGTGTGTCTGTCGCTGTCTTCTTCGCCGGAAGCCTGCCCTTTTACTGAGTATAGTCATACTACACACCGACATGCCAAAGAATGCTCACTGATCTGCAGACGTGGAAAAAAACGCACCATCATAAAAAGACCACTGTCGGTGAGATCATAAGCACTTTTTTTTCGTTCTCCGTCTTACTGCACCAGCTCGGATAGCCTTGCATGGACAATAAAGCTTTTGAGCGCCTGGTTGGTTTCACTTCTGGCAGGACAGTGGTGTGATATGTGGTGGCGCGATGCAGAATGCCTCCGGATGGACGATGTCACTCCGACTCCGAGGTTCGATAAAGGGCACTCCTTTCCTCTACAGCAGAGGGACAGAATTGGCTGGGAGGTTTGGAGATGCTGACATGGGTCACCAGACTGGGAAGCTGTTTGGGTGTGGGACATGGGGATATGGGAGCTGCTCTTTTTCTTGGCCCCGAAATGTTTTTTCCTTGACCCTGCCGTCTTGTCTTGGTGAACGAGCTTTGAGGCCGGAAAAAACTTTCTTTTTTCAACCACAGCACGGAGCCAAGACAAAAGACAGCCTCCCTTAGGGTTTCTTTTTTTCTTGTCTCAGAATGTTCTTTTCTTGACCTCGCATCGTTTGCATCTCAAAAATCTCCTTTTTTTGAGCTCCGCCTCTTTACTACGTCAGTAGCACGGTAGGTACGTCCAATCGAACTGTGTGTTGTCAGACAAGGTCCAATGCCCCATCAAGAAAAACAGAGGCAAGGAAGAACCAACAAAGCACCAACCAAAACAAACCGAGAAAATGGGGCAATTGAAAAACTGCGTGAAACGTAATTCCCCAGCACGCAGCCTCGAACATCCTGTATGAAGCACAAGGCCACTATCAGAACGCAAGAACGCATAAGTGCAGGCAATGTCGGCTCATCTCAGCAAGGGTCCCATCTTCGAGACTTGCGGCTATCCACATCAACCATCCAAGCACCCCACTTTTCGCAACCTTCACAACAATCCAAAGCCTCGCCCAGCATCCTCTCCAGAAAGCCATGTCGGATCATCACGGTCCAATCTTCGCGACTTCCGGCCCGCGGCCATCCACATCAACCAACCATCCAAGTACCACACTTTCCGCAAGCTTCACAACAATCAAAAGCCTCGCTCAGCCACAAGCCAAAGTTCAAAAAGCCAACCAACGATTGATCCAAAGCAATCACAATCGATAGTTCTCACCTCCATACTGCGATCGCCAAATGTGTGCTCCCAACAGCACCCCATGCTCAGCCATCGCCCCATCTGTTGCAATCCGAATTCCCGACGCCACATCGTCGGTAGAAACATCGCCTTGCCAATCATTGCCAGCATGTCTTCCCGGGATGTAGAAACAACGATGTAGGCTTGCGTGCAGGTCGCAGGATGAGAACTGCGTTTGGGTTCGTCCCCGGAAGCAAACCCTTCACCTGCGAAGCAGTAGGGAAACGAGGGAAAATAGGGATGTTTCGGGCTTCAAAACTCACAGCCTTGCACCCTAAACCCCCAGGAAGCAATATCCGAAAGCGCAAACACAATGAGGGCGGGCAGAGCTGCGAAGCATTGGGCAAACGTCCCACAGGTTACAGGATGGTTCAAAACCTGTCATTCCAGTTTTTTGAAGCGATCCCAAACCCCCGAAGAAGCACAACCCTTCTTAGAAATAAGTGCACTGCGCTGACCTGACCTGCGAAGCATTGGGGAAACGTGGGGAAAAACGATGTT